TAATGACGTATTCCAAATCCATAGTAGCATTTTAAAAACCAATCAACCAAACAATACCAATCACTTTTATATCCATACCTGAGTGCTAAATCTGCCAATCAAATACACCCAATAATTTGCCTCCTTGTGGAGGGTAGTACGTTACTATTAGGCGGCAGAAGTCTTTTTCCTTGCTTGACAAATGGACCTTAATGCAAGGATCTGGTCCGCCCATTCGTGAAGTCAAATTCATGGACCCTTAAAGGTCTTTTTTCCTTGACTAACTATAACACATGTATGGTTCAGAAAATAAATTTTAGACAAATAAAAATCTTATTTCAAAGAAAATAAAATAGGTAAAGAATATTGAAATTATTCTTAGCTACCCCATAACTTGGACTAATAGAATCAGACATTTTGACAATTTAGCTAGTTTTTGAAAATGAGTTTTGTATTTAATAATATTGTTCGAGAAGGAGAAGCTGATAGTCAAATATGTAAAATTATATATAAAGTAGTAAAAGACACAAGGAATAATACATTTGTTTTACACAATTTAGAATAACCATTCCAACATCTGCAAGGTTCCCAACTCGACAATTGCTCAATCTGCTAATATTTTTCCAAGTACAAATTACATAACGATGAAGTAAAAATAGTACCAAATGTCCACCGAATTCATGTAAGACCCATCATGTTATAGACTCAAGAAAATGAAGCTAATAACAAGCAAGATATCCTAGAAATATGCAAGAATCACATAATTAAACAATTTTTTACAAGATATGTCTAACAATTTAAGTCAACTCGCTCTAATGCCAAATGAAATTATTCTTAGCTACTTCATAACTTGGATTAATAGAATTAGACACTTTGATGATTTCACAAGTTATTGAAAATCAATTCGATTGGTACTAGCTAGAGTTGTTCTAGAATGAGAATTAGATAGTCAAAAACGCATAAATATGAAGTGGTAAAAGATACAAGGACACAAGGAACAACACATTTGTTTACGTACATATTATATGTCTGTAGTTAACATATTATGTGCTTTCTATTTATTTATATGCACATAATCTATTAACTATAAGCACATAATATTTTAACTGCAGACAGCCAGACACATAATCTAAATATTATTTTGGACCAAAGTTAACAATGCAATGTGGACCTTGGTCCATGTTATAATTTGCCATAAACAATCCTTATACCATGGACCAGGGTTCACAGTGCATTGTGGACATTGGTTAATGTGTATGTCTTATGTTGTGAGTTTTGTGTCTTATGTTATGAAATTTTGTACCTTAAGAGTATGAATTCTGTACTTGAAACAAATTAGTAATTGTGTCTTATGTTATGAATTCGTCTTGTGTTGTGAAATTCTGTGTCTATGAACACAAATTATGTACCTAAATCAGATTTGAAAAATAAGTAAATATATAACATGTGTATGTGTCTTGTGTTGTGATTTTTTGTCTTGTGTTATGAAATTTTGCACCTTACGAGTATGAATTATGTACCTCATTGTTTCCATCCAAGGTCCATAATGCGATGTGAACCATGGTTCATGATATAAATTGCCGCAAATTATACTGCGGACCAAGATCTATCTTGCATTGTAGACTCTGGTCCAAAACGACATTCAGATTATATACATGTAATTAACATATTATATACATTCAGTAAATAGATTATGTACCTAAATAAATTGAAAGTACATAATGTGTTTACTACAAATATATAATTTGCATATGGTCCATCATACACATGGCAATTGTTATGCCGTAGAACCGTGTCCATCTTGCAAGGTGAATATGATTCTATTTTCATAATTACTAAACTTTATGTTCATAATTTTTGAATTTGATATTCACAATTATTGAACTCTATATTTGCAATTACAGAACTCTATGTTCATAATTATAAAACTCTATGTTCATAATTATTGAACTTTATATTCACAATTATTGAACTCTATATTCACAATTACAGAACTCTATGTTCATAATTATAGAACTCTATGTTCATAATTATTGAACTTTATTTTCACAATTATTGAACTCTATATTCACAATTATAGAATTCTATGTTCATAATTATAGAACTTTATGTTCATAATTTTTGAACTCTATATTCACAATTATGAACAGTTTTAGAACCATGTCCACCTTACAAGATGGACACAATTCAACAATATAATTGATGGTGAATCCTGATCCACAATATAACAATGGATAAACAAATGAATTGGACCATAGGCTGAAAACAGATATCATGAAATGGGCCTCTAAAATCTGCATTACATTTCAGTAGAATTGTTTCTAAATGAGATTTAGGATTCATATTATTGTCCACGATATACCAATTGATAAACAATCAATCGTTATATCCTACACCACGGCGCACATAGCACTGTGCGCCGCGCGTCTCCCAAAACGATGTCGTTTTGGGGTAGTGTTGGGAGGCGCGGTAGGAAGTTGCTGAGATTATGTGTATTTGTTCACAACGTTATGTGTATTGGTTCATACAGTTATGTGTATTTTTTATACAATTATGTATATTCTTTTTATACAATTATGTACATCCGAATCAGAAAATTTGTGTGTATTATGTTAAGAGTTGATGTGTATTATGTTAAAAGTTTATGTTTATTATGTATTATGTTAGATTATGTGTATTATCTTTTAAAAAGAGTATGTATATTTTGTTATATAATTATGTACATTCATGTATAACATTATGTGTATTCTAGTATAACATTATGTACATTCTTGAACAGCGGGTTTTTTTTTAAGAAAAAACTACTGCCATTCACTGGGGCGGAAAATTTCAAAAAAAAATAATAATTAAAACGACGTCGTTTTGCATCTGGGCGCATAGTGCAACGCGCGCCGTGGTGTAGGATATAAATTGCCATAAACAATGTATTGGACCATAGCCTGAAAATAGATATTACAAAATGGGCCTCTAAAATTTCACTAGAATTGTTTTCTAAATGATATCATATATAATATAATCATAGGATTCATAGCCCAATCGTTATACACCAGGGTAAAATTATGTGTTTTCAGTTATAAAATTCTGTATATTTGAAACAGGAAATTTTTATCCTTTTAAAAAAGATTATGTTTTCAGGTATAAAATTATGTGTTTTCTATTATATAATTCTGTACATTCGAAACATGAGAATTTTCAGTTATAAAATTTTGTGTTTTCAGGTATAAAATTCTGTGTTTTCTATTATATAATTTTGTACATTCAAAACATGAGAATTTTCAATTATAAAAATTATGTATTTTCAGGTATAAAATTATGTGTTTTCTATTATACAATTCTGTACATTCGAAACATAAATTTTTTTTAAGGGATTAACCGCAAACACGCGAAAAAGTACAAAACGACGTCGTTTCGGACCAGGACGCACAATGCATTATGCGCCCTGGTGCACGGTATAATTTGCCTTCATAGCCACCATGAAATGGGCCTCTGTTAAAAATCACTTTAGAAGAAAAGGATAATTTTTCCTCCTCTATACCCTCAAGTTGATCAATCGTTATATCGTGGACTCTGGTCCAATACACAGAGTTCATGTTCATAATACACAGAATTCATATTTATACTACACATATACATAAATATGATATAATAAATATGAATTCTGTGTATTATGAAAATGAATTCTATGCATTATGAACATGAATTTTATGTATTATATAGCTGATGACACATAAACACTTAACATTATATACAGAATTTATGTTCATAATGCACAGAATTCATGTTCATTATATTGTATGTTCGTATTTATGTGTGTGTATTATGCAATGTTGCAAAAAACGTTAGACGCCCCATAGGCACCGATTTTTTATTATTTATTTATTTTTTGTTTTTTTATTTTTTTAAAAAAATAAAAAAAATTAAACTAAAAATTGTAAAATTACTAATAAAACATAAGGTTCCTCTAGTTTTTTCTTACAAATTATTTACGTAAGTGGTTGTAAAATCGTTCAAAATATTGTTGAAACCATCTAAATACATAAAAAAATTAAAATTAAGAGCAAAAGAAGCATTTTTTGAAGAAATTAGAGGGCCAAACCGCCTTTGTAAAATATTGTTTGCGGTGGATAGATCTCGAAAAAATACACGATTTCAAAAAAAAATATTTGTCCAAAACGAACAACCGAGTCAAAAGTTATGCTTTTCCGAACTTTTCACATTTTACAACGCAACAAAAAAAAAATTTAAAAATAAAATTAATCGCCGATTGAGCCGGTCGGTTGCGGAAGAGGCCGATTCCGGCTTTCTTCGCGGTAGCCGGCGGGCGCCTAGTGCCTAGATGCAAATTTTACAACTATGTTATTATGAACATGAATTCTGTGCATTATGAACATGAATTTTGTACATTATGAAGTCAAATTCTGTGTATTGGACCAGGGTCCACGATATAAATTGCCTCAAGCTGATGTATACCACTATACCGGCAAATTATGCTGTGCATCCGTATGCACCATGCATGGTGCATACGGATGCAAAAACGACGTCGTTTTAATAAAATGCGCGTCTCCTCTTAAAAAAAAAAAATCAGGTTCGATTCCCAGCAACAACATATGAACTAAAATTCCATAATCGATGAACTATAATTCCATAATTGATGAACTATAATTCCATAATCTAATCTATGAACTAAAAATTCCAGAATGAATGAACTAAAATTCCATAATCTATAAACTAAAATTTCAGAATCGATGAACTACAATTCCATAATCGATGAACTATAATTCCATAATCAATAAACTATAATTCCATAATCTATAAACTAAAATTCCAGAATGAATAAACAATATAATGTTGTTGCTGGGAATCAAACCTGAATTTTTTTTTAAGGGAAGACGCGCGTTTTTTAATAAAACGACGTCGTTTTGACATCCGTATACACCATGCATAGTGCATACGGATGCACAGCATAATGATTTCACTATACCACATATAATGGACAAACTTTAAAGATTTCTACATTTCTCATGAGAAATGAAAAACTGAAGAAAAAAGATAAAAGAATACGTTTACTAACTTCCTTACGATTGATTATGATGGGTTGTTTTCTGTTTGAGAGGAAGCATTTGAAGAGGTGCTGTGAGAATGTGAGCTGCTCTTAGTTGAGGACGGCTCAGTGAAGAAAACAATGGTCTCCTGGTTATTGGCAAACAATTCAAGAGATCTGGGTATAAGGGGAAAGCCCACATCTAAAACTCCTTCAAGAATTTGAGCAACCTGACCCATTGATGTCCTGTGTTTTTCATCATCTTGGATGCACCAGAGGGCAACTTTGCAGGTTCTTGATGCCTCATCGATATCTGCAACCCCCCCGCAATCTGGGATCTAGCAGAGTAAGGATGTTACCTTCAGTGGCTATAGTATTTGCAGCACGAAATGGGAAGAATCTCACTTTCTATATGGGAGTTAGCAGTTAATCAATACAATCTGTATCCAGAATCTTTGCCCCACGCCGCACTCTTCTCAATATGCTAACCCTACCAACATGAACAGTTGCATGCTCCAACTTTTTAACACTCTTTTTCCTCTTTACCCTAGAGTCACCACTTCGAGTAGAAGACTTAATACGAGCAGCTTCAACTCTGTCGATTCTTATGGTTCCTGGCTTCTGGTGCAACACTTTTGATGCTTGCTTTGTTCCACAAAGATGTCCAAAGTAATACATGGGGTTAATGCAACAAGGAGCTTTAGTGACAATGCCTTTAATATTAACTGGTTTTAGAAGCTTGACAAAATCTTGTAACTCAGCAAAGCAAGAGTGATCAGAATATGGAACGGTATATATATATTGATGGTATCTTTCAAAAATGTTTGAATCTTTATTTGGACAGCTTGGCTTGCTGCTAGTGGCAGCATTTGAGTGCCAACTGCTCTCGTCATGGTTACAAACTAAACGAGAAGAGCCAAATGTATTGTTATTTCCCCCATCTGTTTTCACTAACCATGGAAGTCCAGATGGCATGATTCCTATTGTAGGACGCCTTATATTCAAAGCTTCAAGAGTCTCAATGCTAAAACTGTAACGAGGAATTGCACGGACTCTGGTAAGAGAAGTTTTAGTTGTAAAGATGTCACGGAAACCAAGCAGATGCATGGTTTGCAGGCGCTCTGGCCACACCCAAATCTGCAACAAATTTGAAGAAAAATTGAACTACATAATTGATAAAATTTAATAAGCATAAGTCAAGAGTTAAATAAAAGGGATAATACATATATATAAACCAATTTAAGAAATATACTGCTAAACTACTAAATAGATGAATACACTTGATGTGTTCAAACAAATAATAATAGAAAACAAAAGCTGATTTTCCAATGGCATCTTGTATGAGCAAATCTTGTCATGCTTTATAAGGTCACAATTAACAGGAAGACATTTCAACAAGACAAAAAGGGAAATAAATATATGGATCACTTTCATACCTTTATTTTGAGTACACGGGATATGTATACCAGAAGGTTTTCTTTCCCCAACGAGTCAATAGCAATGACAACGTCATGCTTAGGATAGGAGGCAATGATATTCACAACCTGTACTCAGTGAGAAGTATGCAAGTATTTTGTAAGCATAGAAGACAATCAGTAAAATTATTATTAGAGTTAAATAAATAAAAATGAATGAAAGACAATATCAGCTATCATTCAATATGTTTGTCTAAATCTTGAAAGTTCAAAAAAAAAAAAAAAAAAGCTTATTGAACTGGACTGTTTTATAAAAATTTATTCATGAAAAATGACTAATGCTACTTCCACTAAAATTGGCATACTCTAATAATCAACAGAATCACAGAAGTGAATCATTAATACCTGCCTAGCAGCCACTTCACGAGAAGGAAAGGAATATGATGGATTGCAATAAGTATTGTCCATGTACAGGAAATCAAGTTTTACATCCTTCAGAGCATTGAGTAGCATTTCCCTTCCAATAAGTGCTCTATCACTTCTTTCTTCCCAACGAAAATCCCCAGTGTGAAGCTCACAACCAAATTCACCACGAAACAAATACATGACCGCTCCTGTCCAAAATAAAAACAAGTTTTTGTTTCATTAATTCAGTGACTAGGCCAGTAAATACTTTTTAAAGCACAAATGAAGTGGTAAAGCTACAGAGATGCAGAATACAAAGCAATTTCCTTGCAATTAATGACAAATTTTGGCAGATAAAATATCTCAAGTTCCACAAATTCATTTTTCAAATGCAATATCAATACCAACAATTTTGATATCTTAACCACCTACATAGCTTATATTTACAACAATATTTAATTCAATCATTCTTAAAGTACTAGCATTGAAGTTCAAGCCTAAAATAAATAAATAAATAAAATAAAATAACCAAAAAATGTCTGAGTAATGATATCTCTCCATTCGTTATAGCCTCTTTTCTTTCCAGCTAATCAGATATAGGGAGTGTTTGGTAAATAGTTATTAGCTGATTGGGTTAGTGGTTTGATTAATTGATAGCATTAGTTGATTATAGAAAAATGTTTGGTAAATTAGTTGATAACTGATTACATGTAAAAAATGACTTTTTCAAAAAATTTATTGAAAAAACTACTTTGAGCAACTTTTTTAATTTTAGCATTTTAGAGCAATAAGTTGTTACAAAAAAACTAATCAATCAAACACTTATATTGAATGTTTAACCAAGTCAAACAGTTAATAATGGTCAAATAAGTCAAAATTAGCGGATAAAGCTAACTAGCTAACTATGTTACCAAACAGGGTAATAATCTCTCTAACTGGCAGCTCTTACATTCACCATATTCAATTTCCAACCTAGAGTGAAACATTTTGTCAAACAATTGGTGAGCAACATAAAAGGGTATAAACACCGTACCTGGGCAGTGGTGAGCGTCGAGGGGCATGAAGTGGACATGGGTAGAGGAGGCGGAGGAGGGGGAGAGGAGGGAAAGGGAATACCAGTTGCCGACATCGACGACACGGAGGAGGGAGAGGTCGAAGCCGGGGAACTTGGAAGGGAAGAGGACGGCGGAGACGCGGGAGCAGAAGAGTGGGCCTTTCCGCCATGAAGGAGAGAGTCCCTGTGTATGGTCGGCGTGGAGGTGGGTGAGGAAGTAGGCCTGGCTTCCATTCCCCCACCTGTCCACTGATATCATTCCGCTCTCCATCGCCATTCGCCGCTATCTGCTCTTCTTGGAGGTTTTTCCATTTATTATCGATTCCAGGCCTTTGGCGGGGATTTTGATTTCAATTTTTCAGAAAACTGTTATGCTAAAAGGCGGTAAATTATTGTGGGGTCCCATAAATGTAATATACATGGAAAAATAACATTTTTTCCTGCCTGAGTTATATATTTATAGCATTTTTTGTCCCTGAATTATTTAAATTGTTATTTTTCGCCCTGAAATGTTAAATGGACATAATTACTCTTAAAATAAATATTTTATTTATTTTTCTTTTCAACAAATTTTGACCACAATTTGGTTCAAACCAAACAGACACAATAGTAATAAAATCGAAATATTCCAATTACAATTTAGAATCGAAACTCGATATTTAGAGTTTATTAAAATCGCGAACTGGAACGGTCAGTTCATGATCCGAACTGAAAAAAATAAAATACAGTTATTGTTGAATTTATATTATTTAAAAAAAATTAAAATAAAGATGGTTCAAACTCGCAAACCGGATCCGAATTGCCGGTTCACGGTTCAAGATCCAATTTTTTCGATTAATAATCTATAGTACATATAAAAAACAAAATCCTGAAATTCTAACTTCCCGCCCAATTCCTAAAAAATCTCTCTTCCTAATAAAATATATTGATTTCTACTTTCCCATTCGTACAATAATTCTGTGTTAAAATTTTATTCTAATATTATAAAATAGTGTAATACAATCTATACTATATATAAAAACAAAAGTTCGGCAATTTTAACTTCCCGCCCAAATCCTAAAAAATCTCTCTTCCTAATAAAATATATTGATTTCTACTTTACCATTCGTACAATAATTCTGCGTTAAAATTCTATTTTAATATTATAAAATAGTGTAATACAATCTATCTATACTATATATAAAAACAAAATCCTGAAATTTTAACTTCCCGCCCAATTCCTAAAAAATCTTTCTTCCTAATAAAATATATTGATTTCTACTTTCCCATTCGTACAATAATTCTGCGTTAAAATTCTATTATAATATTATAAAATAGTGTAATACGATGAGATCAACAAAAACTGCATTAACTGAACAGTAGCAAAGATAATACAATAAGAGATTAATCTACGTTAACTAACCCTATACAATAGGCTAGCCATAAGACTCTAACTTATTGACTTATTCAGATAGTACAGGGAAATATAACATTAATAATATTATGTCTAACACACCCCCTCAAGCACAAGGGTGGTGCACAACCACGTTGAGCTTGTCCCGCAAAGCAGTGAACCGAGGACCTGGCAATGGTTTGGTGAAGATGTCCGCCAGTTGATCCTTGGTGGACACGAAGTTAACGACCATGTCTCCAGAAGCGACCTTATCCCTGACGAAATGGTAGTCGATATCGACATGTTTCGTCCTGGTATGAAAGACTGGATTTGCGCAAAGATAAGTGGCCCCGAGATTGTCGCACCAAAGTGTAGAAGGCTTGCCGGTGTGCATACCCAACTCACGAAGCAGAGATACAACCCAAGTTACTTCAGCAGATCATCAGCAAGAGCCTTATACTCGGCCTCGGTCGACGAACGTGCAACAGTGCGCTGTTTCCTGGACAACCAAGAAATAAGATTCGAACCAAGAAACACTGCATAACCACTAGTACTCTTTCTGTCCACCGGACAACCGGCCCAGTCGGAGTCTGAAAAAGCATGAATGTCAGACGAGGTGGATGCAGAAAGCTGAAGACCGTAGGTAGTCGTGCCCTTGATATACCGTAGAACCCGCTTCAAAAGACCCCAATGATCCACTGTAGGTGTGTGCATGAACTGGCACAGCCGATTAA